ATGTAAAAGGATCTTAAGCTTATGAAAAGATACTCAACCTTGTTCAAAATAAGAAAAAAATATGTGGAAATACCATTTTTCAAATACAAGATTGGAAAATAATCCAAAACCATTGCAATTACTCTACTGGTGACACACTGGAGAACCTGAGGCTTTTACACATCGCTGGTGAGAATGAAAGACGGCACAATGGTTCGGAGGGGATTTGGAAGCAGTAAAATAAATACATATTTTCCCTTTGATAGAGTAACCTCGCTTGTAGGAATCCTCAATGATACTCTGACAAAACCATGAAAATATATGTGTACATGAGTCTATTAGTTGTACTAATATTTGTAATAAAAAATGGAAACCAAGTGTTCACCAACAAGGGAAAAGTAAGGCATATCCACACAATGGAATTCAATAATGCTTATTTTTTAATGGAAAGAATATCCGTATATTACTAGGGAGTAATCTCCAGAATATAATTATAATGCAGAGTAAAAAAAGAAGCAAGGTGGAGAAAAATATGCATAATATTCTACTTTTTACTTAAGAAGGGGATGATGCAAATCTCTATCAATACCTACATTGTCTATAATTCCTTTACATGTTTTTAAAATGGGAGACTTTCCAAATAAAGGTTTACCTAAAGGGGAGAAAAGGAATATTGAAGAGCATGGGAACAGAAGCTGTCTTCTCTGAATGTAACTTGTTTCATAGCTTTGATTTGGGAATCATGTTAATACTTTATATAATTATAAAAACAAAATACATTTAAAAAGCAATAAAATATAAAATTATGTATAAAATTGGCGACATAACAGTACAGTAACAATACGTGACTCTATCTCCCTAGAGTGATCTACCCAAATGACAAAATAAACTGCAAAACTCTTAAGTATGTTTCCAGTAATCATACTTCGGTGATGGTGCTGGTACACTAATACAAACACTATAGTGTGTGTATTGTGAAATAAGACGAATGAGTAAGTATGTTAATATCACTCAGGAATAAGATTTTTGCCAAGAGAAAAAGCAATGACAGTTGTAAGATTAGGGATTGTAAGTAAAAATTCTATAACCCTGAATATGAAGTGGAAATGTCAGTATAAACATTGTAGTTTTTACATTAAAAAAAAAATGCACGTCTCCTAGCTCTTTCAGCTAGCCTAGAAACAGTGACCAGCCTAGCAACAACGAGACCACCAAGCACTAGGATTGTGACTTCTAAATACCGTGTCCTATTATTAAAGGAACCAGAGCTCCCACTTTACTCCATATACAGAAATTAACTCAAAGTCAATCAGTGACCGAAATATAAAAGCTAAACGATTAGAAAAAAACATAGGGGTAAATCTTCATGACCTAGGATTTGGCAATGGATTCTTAAATTTGACATCAAAAGCACGAGCGACAAAAATAATAGATAAATTGGATTTCATCAAAATGAAAACCTTTTGTGTATCAAATGACATTGTCAAGAAAGTGAAAAGACAACTTACAGAATGGGAGAAATGTTTGCAAGTCATATAAAGGGAAGGGTCGAGCATCCAGAATAAATAAAGAACTCTTAAAACTCAACAACAGGAAGACAAACAACCCAACTGAAAAATAGGCAAAGGACTCAGACATCTTTCCCAGGAAGCTATGCAAACGAGAAACAAATAAATAAGAAGATATTCAACATCACTGGTCACCAAGGAATGCAAATCAAAACCACAATGAGATACCACTTCATACTTAATTAAGACGGCTACCCAAACAAATAGAAAAATAACACATGTTGGCGAGTATGAGGAGAAATAAAAATGCTTGTAAGTTGCTGTAGGCATACAGAATGACAAGGCAGCTATGAAAGATACATTGGTGGCTCATCAAAAGGTAGAATGACTGTATGACCTAACAATCGCACTCCCAGGTATATATCCAAGGGAAACAAAAACATACATCCACTCTGAAACAAGTACACAAATGTTTATAGCGGCGTCACTCATAATAGCCAAAAGATGGAAACAATCAGATGCCCATCAACGAATGAACGGATAAATAAATTACAGTCTAGCTACATAATGTAATATTATTCAGCCACAAAAAGTAACAAAGTACTGATCATACCACAACTGGGATGAACGTCAAAAACATGCTAACCAAGCAAAGGCTGACACAAACGGTCACATATTTTATGTTTCCTTTTATAACCAGATTAGTGGTTGCCAGGCAATGGGAGCAAGGGAGAATGGGAAACAATTACTTAATGGGCATAGAATATTATTCTGGAGTGATGAAAAAGTTTTGAAACTAGAAAGCAGGTGGGTAGTCATTGCATAGCAATGTGAATACACAAAATGCCACTGAACTGCACACCTTATGATGGTTACTTGCATGTTATGCGAATTTCACTTCAATAAAAAAATACATCTAATAATCGTATAGTGCAAGTAAAGGATGTTTTGTAATGTTGAGAGATATAAAACCTTAAACATTAGATATTTCAGCTTTATATCATTCTTCTTTAACTTATTTTTAAATATATGTTCTTTCATATATATTGTGCATGTGTTCAAAATTTTTAGCAAGATGGGTGTACAACAAAAAAAATTTAGATAGTGCTGCTCTAGATCCAGGGTAATAAATTTATTATTTTCGGGGTGAATCGATAGACGTACTTTGTGTACTTTGGCTGAATAATATTTTAAAATTTATTTTCAATGTCTTTATGCAAATTATGTATCTTCTAGTTCAACACAGTTCTTTCAAACCCTAGTGTTTATACTGTTCGAGATCCAGGCATTAATTTTCTTGCCTAGTAGTGATCAAATGGATATCAGAACTGCCAACACCTCCATGGGGACTGGGCGTATCTGAGATAGCTTTATATCAGCCGTTTTTCTCTTTTGTTCTCAATCAGCATTAGAAATGGAGGAAAAAGTGCGAGACTTACCCACACAAGGCAGAGAGTAGCCAAGCTGAGGGTCATGGACAAACTGCCGATCATTGAGTCTTGTCACGCAGTACAGGTGGAAGCAGTCTAAGCAAATCACGTGGCGGTAGTTGCACTGGAAAACCAGGACGGGGCTCCTGCGCAGGGAAAAAGAGACAGTTACCCTGGGGCTCCTAAGGCCGGAAAGGCAGCTCTGTAATCCTCCAGGGCCGCTAGGGCATCCTCTGTGTAAAGACCTGCGCTGCTAAGCACTGAGCTGATACATATCAATGCTACGTCCTAAAAATTGGAAATACCTTGTGAACTATAAAGAACATGGATTTTCTTAATTTTATATTTTTATGTGACCATATTCACCAATCAGCCAGTTAAACCCAAGGTCACATGTAAGCTGTTTCTAGAAGCCCTCCTTGACTTATAATTCCCAGTTAACCCCCTGATCATCCATCCACTTCGGTGCTTTTCTATTGATCCATGATTACATTGTAGTATTGGCAGGTTTCTCTTCTCTTGTAGACTCTGATCCCCTTGAAAGTAGACACTGTCTACTTTACATTGATATTCTCATGGTACCAGGCATTGTACAGTTTTACATAAATGTTCCTTGAATTTAGTTACAATAATATATAGAATCTGAACTTCCCCAAAGTCAAAAGAAAAATTCTCACTGCATTGAAGTATGTTAAACAGTCGTTCATATTTCACTGGCAAAGAGAAGAGCAGAAAGAAAAGGTTACCTGCCAAGACGCTTCTACTGCAGGATTCTAACTCTTGCGCTGCCCCCATCACACCCAAATGTTCAATGTCTTAAAGTAAGTTTAGGAGAGTACTAATAAATCAATATACACAAGTTCCCCCAATTTTAGACTTCCTTAAAACACTTTCTAGAAAAAATATTGCCTGAATAACCATGTATTTTTGCTAGTAAATGAACCATATGAGTTTATGACAAAAAGGAGACAAAATAAATATATTAATTTGAGATCAGCCCCAAGGCAATTTTAATAGTAAGAAAGTCATTGGAATTTATCTAGATAAGTCTATTTTCTATGTACTGATAACAGAATACAAAATAGTTTTCATTTCATACCCAATTCTTAACAGATATAAGAGCTCTTCAAAAGCTTTTTCCCTAGAAAAACTGATATTAAGCATTGACATTAGTAGAAGACAATTTCTTAACAATGAAAAGATTTTCAAAATTCTGTTTTCCCACTTATTTCCAAGCAATATATAATACAAAACAAAATGGAAAGAAAAAACAAAAAACAAAAACCCTTGGTATTTTAATGTGTTGGATCCACAGGCAGGTGGTCGACTTAATCTGAGTTAAGAGTGTCCCTCAGGTTTTTATGTGCCTCCATTTCCCATCTCTGAACCTACTGATGCCCTTTCGGGGCCATTTCCATTCCCAGGGCCTTTTTCAATTAGGTGTTGACTGTGTTCTGAACTTTCAGCCTCTTCCCTTCTAACAGCTTCCCCCTTGAAGATGATAAAATAAAATGCTTTCCTACATCTAACAGAAGAGTCGGGCACGCACACACACTGTATTCACTCTGCGTGACCCTACGGAGCTGCTGTTTTACCTTCTCTCAGAGCTAAATTCTGTGAAAAATGTTCTTCACTCTGATTTTAGCAACATGGTTGACTTAGCCTTTAAAGATCCTTAATCCGCTATCAACACATAGAAACACTGCAGAAAATATGAGAACATTTATGAAAATGGTCCTATATATAAGCAGGTTAAAAGAAAGCTTAGCAATTACCCTGTAGGAGAAGGAAAAAAACCATATAAAAGCCAAAGCAGTCAGTAGGGACTGTGGATACTGCCCCAGTGTCCCAGAGAGACGGTGAGGCACGTGGTACGTCGCCACTGGTCCAGCAAATGTGTTCGTTTTTATCCCTATTAATAGAAGGGAAAGTAAAAAGAGTTGTCTTCCATGTTTGGACAACAGTACACATTTATAGTTTTGCCCTTATAATTAAAATATAGCCCCAAAGAACCTACACCACCTAGCCCATCCACAGAGCGTCAGGTGCTCGGCTTTACTGATTATATCCTGCTGTTTGGAACAGATCAGCAAGAAATGGTGAGAACTGGAGGCCCCGGTGTGAGACAAACTATGCAGTTTCAGGGGCCATCCGCATCAGGGAAGGCTTTAGAGGTCCAGTGTTTGGGTCATGGAGGAACACGCTTAACAAAATAAAGGACATTAGTCATCTTGCCCTCCCCTCAGTAAGAATGACATAATCACAGGCTCTCTGGGACCAGAGGCTCTGGTTCCCAGAGTGAAGCACGCTCTCCGGGGCCACAGGAAGAGTCTTACTGAAAATTAAGCTACAGTGGCACCAGTTCACTTCAGCCTCCTTAAACTGGACTAGAGGCAGGAAGGAAAACTGACCATATTAACAAGGGTAATCGGTCCTAACCATCAGGAAGAGCAAGAACTGCTGTTACACACGGGGTCCGGGAAGAAGTCACAGGGCATCGAGGCGGTTCCCTGGACACCTCCTGATCTGCCCCAGTGCAAATGGAGTTTGCTATTTAAAGTTATGGCTTACGAAGTACCTCGTGATCAGGACTTGAGATCTTTTAGTATATATATTTATTACATTTATATATCAATGCATGTATATGTATGTGCATATATGTGTGCTTATGTATATATGCACATGTATATATGTATGTGAACACATGTTTATAAGTATATGTAGAGAGGGCAATAGAATAGATACATGTACATGTTGATAGATACATAGATAATGATAAAGATGGAGACAGAGACAGTACATGCCTGTATTTCATGTAGAATTGTTAGTTGATTTCTTGACATGGTTATGAGGTAAGATTGCTCACCTTTTAAGACTATTCTTAGTATTTATGAAAAAGTGAAGTGAGTGATAAACATGACACTCATAGAAAGCTTATGAGATTAAGCATCTGAGAAAATAAAATGAGTAAAAATCATTTCATGGCCAGAGGGACAACATAATTAATTTCCCAAGTCCTAGATAAAAGAAGAAAGGGGGAAATCCTAGTACTGATGAACACTTACTTTGAGTTGGGGACGTTGCTAGAAACTTCACATTTTTTTTTTCCATTCCACCTTCTTGAAATAACACCCCCGCCCACTCTACTAATCATCATGTTCCTCCCTCCGCCTCCACCCACTCTGTCGGCGTGGTCCTCACCCATCCTGGCATACTTCTAGTTCCTTGGCCCTTAGACTCATGCTCCTTGTCAAGCATTCCTGCAGAACAGTATATTCAAATATATTTATATTCAACTGAAAACTCCAAATTTTAAGGTCCAATTCAAGACTGAGACCTCTGCAGAACTTTCTCTGGAGCCCCATCCTTTACTGGTTCTTCCCTTTCTCTTCACCTTTTATCCTTCAGGTCTACCCTCAATGTGCTTCAGATATTACCTTCACTTCTATTCCAAGTGAATATTAAATGAAAAGTCATGAAATGATAGAGGTCATTCTTGTTTATCCCTTTCATGAGCCCGACCTCCTCACGATATACAGGGTTAAGCACACAATGGTTACATTATCAACAGTTACTGATTGTACCAGTGGATACATGAATGGGATGTTTTTACTTTATAATTTCTCTGCTCCCATTCCCACATTTTCACTCAATTACTTATTAAGCATCTACTTGGCTAAAGTAATCATGTATTTAATACATGTAGAATGTAGCACTGGGTGAATGAGTAAAAACTATATAGTCATAACTGGTTCAAGCACTAGGAAACACTCATGTACACACAATCCGAGGGCAGAGCTAGTGCACACAACGTGCACGTGGAACAAGCATTACAAGGAGATACATGAAGTCACCAAACTCCAGTGCCGTAAGAGTTAGGAGAGGAGGGAAGTATGAGTCAGGATGGCTCCCCTGGGCAACCTGAGCTGAATTTAAGGGAATGGGAGAATTGATGTTGGGCCACTGGAGAGAAACATGGTTTCTGGCCAAGGGAGAAAACTCAGACATGGAAAAGAATGCTTGGAACAGGAAAGAAACTAGTTAGACTGACTGAGAGGACGCATCAGGAAAACAGTGTGAGGAGAGATGAAAAGGGTTGGACACAGAGCAGCTTCTGATCGAGGAGAGTGGTGGGGGGATTCTTGGAGACAAACATAGCATATAACCTCAGATCATGGGAATCTGCTGAAGACATGTGAGCACGGGAAGGGAGTGATGCTTTGGTAACTTTAATTCCAAGGAAAGTCTGAAGGGAAAAAATTTAGAAGCTGTGAAAAGTCTTTGGAGGTCATTTTAATAATTTAGGAGTTACTAAGGAATTGAACTATGCTATGCTGGTGGTTCCAGGAGTGGGGATGTGAAGATGAATAAGAATGATGCTTCTAAACCAGCAATTCTCCAGTGAAGACATACAAATGGCCAAGAGGTACATGAAAAAAAATGCTCAATATTGCTAATTATCAAAGAAATGCAAATCAAAACTACAATGAGGTATCACCTCACACCAGTCAGAATGGCCATGATTAAGAAGGCCACAAACAATAAATGCTGGGGAGGCTGTGGAGAAAAGGGAGCCCTCCTACACTGCTGGTGGGAATGCAGTTTGACACAGCCACTGTAGAAAACAGTATGGAGATTCCTCAAAAGACTGAAAATAGACTTACCATGTAATCTGGCAATCCCACTCCTGGGCATATATCTGCAGGGAATTCTAATTCAAAAAGATATATGCATCTCCATGTTCATAGCAGCACTATTTACAATAGCTAAGACATGGAAACAACCTAAATGTCCATCAACAGGTGACTGGATAAAGAAGCTGTGGTATATTTATACAATGGAATACTACTTAGCCATAAAAATAATAAAATAATGCCATTTGCAGTAACATGGATGGCCCTGGAGATTGTCATTCTAAATGAAGTAAGACAGAAGGAGGAGTAATACCATATGATAGCAACAAATGTGGGGGAAAAAAAGACACATGAACTTATTTACAAAATAGAAACAGACTCACAGACATAGAAAACAAACTTATGGTTACCAGGATGGGAAGGGGGTGGGAAGGGATAAATTGGGAGTTTGAGATTTGCAGATACTAACTACTATATATATAGTAGATAAACAACAAGTTTATACTGTATAG